CACCAACAAACAACAACAATGAACTGACAGAGGACAGGGGCAAAACAGGTGGTATAAATACAGAGGGCTAATTAGGGAAACATGGGCAGGTAAACGAGGGACAGGTGAGAACAATAAGGGTAATCATGGCAGGAGAGGAACACAGTCAGGCGGGCAGGGGCAGATCGTGACACCGCTCTGCACTTAAATATGGGGGGATGTCACACAGTGGAATGTGTGTTTTCTGTTGATTTAAATTCTTTTATTAATTGTTGGAATTTCTTAAACAGTTTTGTGTTATTGCATGATTTTGTCGTGTGTTGTTGGTTTTATGTGCCTGTTTAGTTTAGATTGTTTTGCCACTGTTGACATGACAGTCACCTGAAGAGGTGGGCGTGACTGGGAGAGCGCCCCGGGTGCGCATAGTTAGCAGGCTGATAAAGGGAAGAAGCTGCAGAACTGCGGGAGGAGAGAGGAAAAAGAGACAAAAGAAACAAGAAGGCAGAGGGACTGGACTAATAGGTGGACGTAGCACAGAACGCGTTGGATCACTGGAGGACCGGTTCATCCCTGGCGCGCAGCGACGAGTGGGAGCAACGCCTTTGAATGACAGCAGGGCAGAGGTTGGACCTCTGCCTGCATCCGTGAGTGAACGGCTTCCTCTGTTGTATGCTGGGTGACGCGCCGTATGGGCCGATCCGACGAGAAAGAGATTGCACTGCGTCACAGACAAAAGTTCTGCCCCAGTGTTCTGTCCTTGTCAGGGAGGAGCGGCGAGAGTCCCCGGGAGATCACGCCTGAGACGAGTGCCTGCTGAGAGCGAGACCAGAGACTGCTGGAGTCGGACGCTGAAGCCGGGACGCCACCTTTCCCATCCTGGAAATTCCCTCCACGTGACGTTGTGGATCTGGGAGGAGCCCAACTATCTTTTGGGGTCTTTTTGAAGAACATGTTTTAAACTGCTTTTATGGGCTCAAACTTTTTAGTGGTAGATTTTTAGACGGGGGCTTTTATTTAGTTAAGAAAAGAGGTCGCAGACAAACTTCTGCTCTCTGGTGTCTCTGTCCCTCTGGTTTTGCACCCTCGCTCTCCACCTGTGGCGTTGTGAATCCCTGTGTGACGCTGGAGCTCTGCAGCTCCAGCGTTGCCTAGGTTACATATATATGCCTGATGGTGTAGCTGCCAGCTGAGCAGCTGATGGCGATGACCCTTAATCGGCTCACAGAATTTATATAAGCCACACCCTTCCAGAGAAAACTGCTTGGGTTAATTTGTTTGTAGAGAAGATAACACGGTTTGAAGTATTGAAATTATGTCTTTAGCCTAAATTCACCTCAGCTGTACACTGCCGACTGCATCCCCACGTAAGTTTTGCTGTATTGACGCTTTTGTTTGGGTTATTAGTTTGACACTCTATAGTCATTGTTTGTTTTTCTTGTTCTTGTCCATCACCTAGTCTACAGATAAGCCAGATTTGAGGAACTATTGTTTTGTTTAGCACCCTTGGCCAGCGCAGCAAGGTAAATGTGAGAATATGATCTATTTCTGTTATGACATAGAAGTTGTGTTCACCTTTTATTTATGCTTTGTATATCTCTAAACAGTTTTCACGGTGCAACTCATGGAGTGAAGTCCAAGGAATTGGACCAGAGAAACTAAAAGTTTATGCACCCGTCGAGGCTCTCCGTTCTTTTCTTCATGGTGCCAGGGGCAGCTACAGTGAAAACTTGACCAGTGGCCAGTGGAAAGCCTACCATCATCCAGCTTTTGGGAGGACCTGTTGACACAGCAGCTTGAGGCGGATGCAGCTTGGTGCAGAATCACCATAATTGCCCCTCTTTTCTTCCTCCTTAAAGGCTTCACAAACTGAGTAAAGGAGTTTTGTCCTTTACTCAGTCCAACTCCAGGCTTGGAGTTGGAGTTTAAACCAAAGGTAAAGGTTTTCTGATTGAGGAAGATGGACAAACAACCTCTCAGAACAAGCTCAAGAGAACACGAGCTAACTGAAGAGGGTAAAGAAATGCAAGAGCAACAAAATAAGATGTTTCATAAAGCCTTTTGAGGCATATGACACTTGGGAGAGAGTTTGCTAGAGAAACAAGGACACGGCTAAAAACTTTCTGTACAACTGAGGAGCTTGATGAACTGCAGAATAATGTCAAAACTAAACGAACTCTAGTGCACAACACATAAGTCTCTTTGTCAAGGCAATGCCACTAATTCAGATGTTGTCAAAAAATGGATGCTTGTATTGCTTTGTCTGCAGAAACATGTGATTTGATAAGCAAACGTTTAGAGAAAGTGGGTACAGTCTTTAACAACCACCTAGAGAAGGAAGTGTGAGAATGGCATTAAGTAAAAATGAGTATGGCTCTATTCTTGGGACAACAGAAACAGGAACTGTGGTCTCAGACCGTAAGGAAAGCAGAGTAACTTGTGCAACCTCTGGCTCAAAATACTCTAACCCAGGGGTCGGCAACCCGTGGCTCTTTCATCCATCTGATGCGGCTCCCTAGACTCTGCTTGTAAACTAATTAAGGATTATTTAATTACAATGTATTTTATTCATGTTTTCATCTGTAGCCAATTCTAAATTTAAAGATTATCTGCGTAAACGTCACCAGGTCACCTGCTTGTGCGTAATCAAATGTCTCTGAGCTTTCTGAGCTGAAGAGGAGATTCTGGACTGTTCCTCAGACAGGCTCATGGATGCAGTGTTGGAGACAGGAACAAGCGCTATTCAGCCGAAGATTCATAATCAGGGAACATTTTTTAAAAGTCAGGTCTCTGAGAGACTGGGTTTAGAAAACACAGAATCTGGTTCTGTGATGCGTTCCAAGCCCCCGATCTATCTTCAGCTCGCTGTCCACGTTACGCGCGCTGACAGTGAGCTGTGCTGAGCTCAGTGTCCATCTCAGATGTTCTGATGGGAATCTTTTCCTGATTGATGTAGCTACCTCCACGATGTGCGTTAAAATGTCAGCGCATCTGCAGGCTTGAGATTTCTCCGTCAAAATAAATACGGGAAACATCGGGTCAGTGCGAATCCTGTCATTTAACCATTTTACCTTCTAGTGAAGATAGTTGCAAACAGAAACATTAAACCTGATTAACACCAGAGCCACGCACACTGCGCCGTTATCTCCGTCAGTGTAAACGATGGAAAAAACTAATAGCCTTTTCTTGCCTTTTCAGCAATGTTTAATGCAAAGTTTAGTTCAGTACAAAGTTGAATTACAACAGTCCAACGAGACAGAGCCTGGATTTGTATTCTGAACAGTTATGTGTGATGCCTCAAAAAGCGTCACCTGCTCAACTATTAAAACCACTAGCAGGGTGAAAAAAATCAAAATATTGTAGCACAGACGGGCTACAATATTTGGATCAATTTTAAACAAACTGTTTTATTAATTATCTTCTGTTGAAAGACAACTTTGAGGTACATGAGCGACTAGTATTGGTTGCTGTCGCTGTCACCTGTTGTGATCGGTTAAAGCAGCTCTCTGCTGTCAGAGGGTAGGCCCCGCCCACAATGCTGCGGCTGCTGCGGCTCCCAGTGTTTCCTTTAAGCTGGGCGTACACTGTGCGACTTTTTCACTCGTAGCTCTCAGCTTCAGCTCAAACTGTACGACTTCCTCGCAGGGCAGATCTCACGAGTCATGCGCTCACACTGCACGACCCAGTTCTCGGATGCGACCTGACTGCTCACACTGTACGTCTGGTAGCAACACGTCGGACCTAAAAATATGCTAAAAATAGCAGTTTTTACTCAACACGTCAGACTTTTTTTGTCTTGTTTTGCCTGTTGTCCTTCGGGAGTGCTGCAGGGGGACACACAGGGATTTATGCGGGTTGGATGAGGAAAACGAAATAAAGTAAATCTGTGTTTTGTGATCAGTTTAATTTGACATGAACACGACAAACACGCTTTCTTGACAATCTTTGTGAGTAAAAAAACGTGTAGAAATTAAAACGAACAACGTGTGTTATTAGGGAAATAGCGGGCGAGCGGTGTTGATGCAGGATTGCGCCGTGAGTGGTTCTGATACATTTTGGGTCGCAGCTGCTTGCAGCGCTGCTTCAACAGTGCGATACCCTCACAAGGGACGAGCAAAATATTAAACACGCCAGAAGTCTGTGTGAGCTCACGATTGCTGATCGGTAGCTGGTCACGTGGTTTTAATCGCCTCTCGTAACCTCCTGTACACTACACGATGCTCGGCGCAAAACTCGCCCCGATCTCGTGGATTCTCGCAGGAGTGGAAAATCGGCTCAAAAAAGTGAAAAAGTTGCACAGTGTACGCCCGGCTTTACTGTGGGAAATGGGTAATTATGGCTCTTTGATGGGGAAAGGTTGCCGACCCCTGATCTAGAGGGTTTGAGAAGACTTGAGATTCTTGGTGTGATTTAAAGTTTATATGTAAATTTCGGCTCCGTTCAAGAAACGTCGGCCGTCAACAAAGTAGGCAGACTTTCCTTCTTCACGTCAGGGGTGGAGCTTCAGGGCAGCGAGCCCCCGGCCAGGGCTTGGGAGGGGCCCGCCCCTGCAATCAGGCAGACGAGAGGGAACGGCGCCTCTAACGCAAACGATGGACAAGCACTTCCATAACTTGTGTTCAGAGGAAAATGAGAATTCCTCTCATGCATATATTTAGGGTTTATGTAGGCTGCCCCAGTCCAGATCGAGTCATGGTTCCTAAAATCTTGCAACCAACTGACTTTAGTGATGTAGTAGGTAGGGTTAGGGTAGGCTAGGTTTGGATGGCGTTATTGGTAGGAGGAAAGTCCTCTGCCATCTGCTGTTCGTCCGATTTTATTTTTAGATAGTTTGGTTACTAGCTAGCACACTAGCCACTAGTTGTTAGCTCGAGGTGCGTAACCTCTCCTGAACAGATTTTGACATGTTCTTGTTCCTTATAGTGCCTTGCACACTAACCACACTAATTTTCAAAGAAGCTTGGAAGCAGGATAAACGTCAAAAAGGCACTGAAGATATGATTTATTATCAGCTAGTGTTGAGAGCTCGTAAGAATCCGCCTCGTCACGCTGCCATCTTGGCCTCCTCTCAGACGGAGAACACCGGTCTGAACCCTGAAACTCCAGAGCAGAAAATAAGTCCCACTCCAGCCCTGACCTCAAACACGACTCCAGCATGACTCCAGCAGCCGAACCGGTTTCTAAGAACGGAACACTGAAGGTCTCCACGGTACTGGAGGGCATTTTGCTCTGAATCTGGGTCGTGGTCGCTGAGACTTTGGTGGTTTCTGTGGTTCTGATTGGGTTCTACGTAGTTAAACGTCAGAAATGGACACAGCCCCCTGCTGCTCCTGCAGAGGACACGACCTGATGTTAAAACAGGACCAGAAACACAGAGGAACTGGTGATCAGGAAGTCAACTGGATCAAAGATTCCGATCAGAACCTCAGAACCCAGAAACCCAGTTTTACACGAGGAAACAGCGCTATACTGGTGGCTGGTTTATGTTCAGTCAGAGCGGCTCGATGCCAACAAAAACAAGTAGAACCGCCTCTTAGAACATCTGTTACTGTTATTATTATGCTGACAGAATAAGAAAAAATTATATTTTATTGCTGCTTATTTAACAAATACATCTGATTAATGTCAGATTGGCTGAAATTGCCAATTGTTAAATGAAAAATACAAATGTTTATTTTGTAAACTTTGTTTTATTCAGTACAAGCCAAAGGTTTGGACACGCCTTCACATTCAATGTGCTGTCTTTATTATCTTGACCGTTTACATTGGGAGATTCTCACTGAAGGCATCAAACCTATGATGTGGAGTTTAAAGGTGAAATAACTGAAAACGTGTTTTATTTTCCATTTTCTCCAGAAAAGCCACCCTTTGCTCTGATTACTGCTTTGCACGCTCTTGATGAGTTTCTCACCTGAAATGGGTTTCCAACAGTCTTGAAGGACCCTCCTCCCAACCCCAGAGATGCAGATGTCTGGTTTGAACAGGTGAGCATCACAGTATATCAGAGTGGAGCAAACTGAGCTTGAGATATTGTGGGTTTTATGCACTTTTTCTGCTCCAAAGCATGAAAGTTAATAGGTGAGATTTTACATTTTCATTTAAGATAATTACTGTTTTTTATTTTTGTTGTTGGCCTCTGAAGAAAGATTTAACCCGCTTTAAAACAGGAACTGGAAAGATAAACGGAGAAGGAAGTGACGCGCCACCATCAGCGTCAGCCTGAAGAAGCCGGCAGCCGTCGGCGAAACGTAGCATCAACAACATGTAACAAAACCGTCTCTGTGTTTTAAAAAAGAACGACAATATGGAATTAGAAATAACGCACAGCAAGAACACACCTAAGAGGATCTGGAAAGATTAGTGTGTGTGTTCTGACCATACGCGTGTGTGTGTGTGTTCTGACCATGTGTGTGTGTGTGTGTGTGTGTGTGTGTGTGTGTGTGTGTGTGTGTGTGTGTGTGTGTGTTCTGACCGTGTATGTGTGTGTGTTCTGACCGTGTATGTGTGTGTGTGTGTGTGTGTTCTGACCGTGTGTGTGTGTGTGTGTGTTCTAACCGTGTGTATGTGTGTGTGTGTGTTCTAACCGTGTGTATGTGTGTGTGTTCTGACCGTGTGTGTGTGTGTTCTGACAGTTTGTGTTCACTAAGGCTGGAGACTGAACAGTGATGCAAAGGGGCTAGTCTCTCTAGAGAAGACCACAGCAACCTCCCTGAGCAGAACCCAGTATCCATCACTGTGGCAGACATCCAACAAAGAGCCTCAGGTCTGAAGAACTGGACAGCTCCAGGACCTGACATGACACGCCTACTGGCTTAAGAAGCTCACTGCACTCCATGAGTGCCTGGCAGCACAAATGAAGCAGCTGCTAAATGATGGGACTCACTCTGAATGGCTAACTGACTTGGCTAATACCAAGGAGACGCCCTGTCCCCACTGCTGTTCTGCAGAGGTCAGATCCCCGTCTACCAGATATTCCACAAGACTGGCCATGGATAGCGCCTCCTCTACATGGAAGACCTCGATCTCACCCTCCACATAGCGGAGGTCTAATCTTCAGGTGTTTGAATCATGCTTAGTTCGACCGCCTACCTGAGACCATGTTGTCATGGAGACCCTAACAGGGGCTAATGAACCAGACTACACAGCTTCCAGGACGATGGAGGTCCTCAAACCCTCCCACCACGATAAGGTGGCGATTCTGCGGGAGGGATGGGTTTTTTTTTTTTTGGCTTTTTAATGTCAATTTATTTATTTATTTATTTTAATTTTTGTGTGTATATTTTATATGTATATATTTGTATTCTATTTTATTTGATTTGATAGAAAAATATAAATTTTACAAAAATATTTTTTTGTTGTTGTTCTTGCTTCTATTTTTCTACTTGCTTGTGAAATCTACACAGCTTCTCAGTTCTAAGTCACCAAGTGGGCCTACACTTATAGACATATAGAGTATGTGTACATGTACTTTCTACTAGAGATTTTGTTGTTTTTACTTCCTAAGTGAAAAAAAAGTTCATTTTCTTCTGAACCCCCCCCCCCCCCCCCCCCACCACCACCACCCCCCACCCCCTGTTCATTCCCTTCAGGTATTTTCCAGATGTGGCTGACGCTTTAGAGTTAGTTGCTTGTGAGGATTCTTTATCTCTGCCAGAAACCAGAGAACTCCGAGTTTTGGCTCCTGTGACCGAGCTTCCACTTTTATTTACTCCTGAATTATTTTCTGCAGTCACTGATAATTTATCTTTAATCCCTTATTTTTCCACTGATGATGCAAGGGTGGGTCGTACGATACCCTAGAGGACGTGCTTGGAAGAGCTTCATCCACACTTGACTTCTCATATGAAGATTTTCCATCTTCGTCCTCACCTGAACTTCCCTTTGAAACCAGAGATGATTCAATGTTACTGTAGGGTTAATGACCTAAACATAGGAATTAAAGGCTGTTGCTATCAGCCTATATTTTAATTCCTAAGAAGACCAAACGAATTGATGAATGAGATTATATATGGATATATAAATATAATAGATATAAATTCATACACCAACTTGCTTGGTCTATGTTTAATCAAAAGATTGTATTTATTTCTAAAGATTTAATTTAATAGCAAAGATTATTTGTTAACTCAGAAGATCTAAAGATCTTTGCCTGTTCAGTGATCAATGTACACCCACTCTGTGTTTATTTCAAGAAAGAGTCAAGTTTAAGATGGTTAAGAAATTTATTACTAAACAATTATAAAACATGACAATTTATAAAAGACTTTGATATTAAAAAGACTTTGGTATTAAAAAAGCAACCCTATGTTTGGATGAATCTAATATGAAGTGTTTGTTTGCGGGTGAATGCAATGTCTCAGAACAGGTGAGCGCTCTGGAGGGCCCTCGGTCGACGCGCAGGTGCAGTCAGAGAGATCAGGGTCAGCCAGTAGTGGTACAGGGCGACATTCAACCTTCCCCCTGTGGTAGGCGAGTCACCAACCTCAGGTCTAGAGGTCACTAGCACCAGCTGTAGGAGTAGGGTCAGTGATGTTGTCAGCCCCCCCCCCCCCCCCGGCAGGTGGCGTCCCCACCACAAGGTACTGGGCTTCAGCTGGAGTCTCAGCGCCACCATCAACTCCCCCTTCGGCAGGTGGTGTTCCCACTCCAGGGTGCAGAGTCTCAGGTGCAGTGCCACTGCAACCTCCCCTAGGTTAAGGTTGGTTTATGCCTGACGCGGCAGTCAGGTCCAGCAGGACCAGAACAGAACAGTCCCCTGCATCACTGAGTCAGAAGGTCATTAGAGACCCTAAGAAGAGCTGTTTCAGGAGAATGAGCTCTACGAAAACCTGACTGGAAGCTATCATAGATGTTCTGTTCATCAAGAGCAGCTGTGAGTTGTTTAGCCACAACCTTTTCCAAGATCTTGGAGATGAACGGAAGTTTAGAGATGGGTCTGAAGCTGCTATGAAGAGAGGGGTCGAGACTCGGTTTTTTAAGAAGCGGGTGGATTACAGCGTTCTTAAAGTAAGCAGGGACCTGACCAGAGACCAGAGCAGCATTAATTATAGAGAGCACGCTGGGACCGATGGACTGAAAAGCACTTTTAAACACAGATGAGGGTAAGATGTCGAGGGGGCATGCAGAGGTCTTCATAGAGTTAACTAGTTTGGTTAACTCGGGTAAAGAAACAGGAGCAAAGCTATCTAGGATGATGGGCCTGGCTGGAGTCGGGAGAGGCAGCGATAAGGCTGAAGGAGAGATGCTACATCTAACCTTATTGACTTTGTCCACAAAGAAAGACAGAAAGTTCTCACGGTCATCAACAAAGTGGATGGAGGATGTAGGAGAGACAGGAGAGACGATGCTGCTGATGGTGTTAAACAGCACCTTGGGGTTCCCTTTGCTCTGGGACACCAGGTTGGAGAAATAGGAAACCCTAGCGTCTCTGACTGCAGAGTTAAAGGATGTCAGAAGATCTTTTAGGTGCAGCAGATGGACGTGGAGATGGGTTTTCTTCCACAAGCGCTCAGTTTTTCTGCATTGGCGCTTCAGGCTGCGAAGGCTGTCATTAAACCAGGGAGTAGGGTTCACTGCAGGAACTGATCTGGTTCTGACAGGACAGATGTTGTCCAGAATGGAGAGGCAGTGCTCGTTAAACTGAGAAGTTAAGGAATCTGGGTCGTTATCAGAAGAACAGGGTGGATCAAAAGCAGAAGAAAAAATTCTAGCTATGCTCTCATTAAGAAAACAAGAACTAACCATACGGCGAGCAGGAGGTGGGGACGCAGAAACTGACAAGTTAAAGATAATGCAATGGTGATAAGAAGTAAAAACAAGGTCCAGCGTGTGCCCCCTGGTGTGTGTGGGGCCAGAAACATGCTGGGTAAAGAGTCCATAAGGCTGGAGAAATTCATAGCAAAGCGATCAGAGGGATCATCAACGTGGATGTTAAAGTCACCCACAATCACCAGTCTGGACAGCTTCACAGTGGAGGATAGAAAGTCACTAAACTCCTGAAGGAAAGAACTGTTTGGACCAGGTGGACGATAGACCACAGCACAGTAGAACGGGTCCTTACGCCCGACTTTAATCAGCTGCAGTTCAAAGGAAGCACAGTGACCAGAGGTTGTAGAGCTACGTGGAAGATGGTCTCTGAAAACAACAGCTAGGTCTCCACCTCGACCAGAACCCCGGGGCTGGCTAAGAAAAGAATGACCACTCGGGCAGAGTTCAACAAGCCAGAATATCGTGGGCGATCGTGAACAAACGGAAGGACAAAAGAGTCTGGCGATCATAGGAGATGGTAGCAGGGACACTACTGAAGAGGATCGCAGACGGGAGCAAGGTGGAAAACAGGAGGTTAGTGGTGAAAAGTTTGAAAAAGTGGCCGGTGACTGCGGCTAAGCCAAGCACAGGCGCCATCTTGTTACCGACCGGAAGCGGAAAGAAGGTCACTGGCCGATGTTGTGTTTCAATGTTGATGATTTTCTGTCCACCAATGTAGCTGGAAAAGTGTTTAACTGCCCACATGGTGGAAAGCAAAGCTTTTTCACAGTCAGAGTATTTTAACTCAGGACCGGACAATAGCTTACTAGCATATGCTACGACACGCCTGTCACAGTCATATACTTGATAAAGACCGGCACTGAAACAGTTAGATGAGAACCCGACCTCAAGGTGGAACTCTTTGTCACAATCAGGAAGCGCCAGGCACGGAGCTGAGCATAATGCGACCTTCAGGTCGTACATGGCCTGTCATTGCTGCTCAGTCTGAGGATGTGCCTTTCGAGTAGACTGAGCCATGCACGCGTGGCCTGTTGCTGCATGTCATTCCCTCTTTGGGTGTTGTTAACTACAACGGTGCTGCCAGGGTGACCAGTCTGTCCAGTACCTCCAAGGTCAATGACACCCACAGAGTCTGTGTCGTCTCTGCAACAGGATTATTTCACCCGGGGGTGGGAAAACCACCTGCCCTAGGGGAGGTTGACAGTTGCAGTGGCACTGCACCTGAAGCCTGATTCATGCTTCTCCGTCTGCGTCAGGTCCTTGCGGGCCTGCCGGAGAGCTCCACAAGGACGGACGGAGTCGAGCTCTCTTTTCTAAACATCCATCAGTCGAGACGGACAACGCAAGCTTGTGATTGGTCAGGACGCCGCTGTCGTCTACGCCGCTGTCGTCGACACCGCCGCCATTGCGCCCTCAAAAACATAAACAGAGCCGAGGATAACTAGCGGCAGACACGGAGAAGCTTGAAGAATACTTCGCAAAAAAACTCTAAAAACGAACGTTTAATTCCCCCGTGACTGGAGGAGTGAAAAGATACGCAGCAAGCATTTTATTTGTGGACGGAAATGACAGAAAACGTGGGTTTAGAGGTGGTGAGCGCATGAAGAGGTGGAGGAGGATGAGAGACAAATCTGTGTTAAGAAGTCTCTTATATACAAAAAAACACAATATAAACGCACTATCTTGGACTGGATACCTGACAGGATACCACAGAACAGCGCTACGCCCTCTGTTGTCCTGCCGGGCAATTGCTTTGCAACACTCTCCAGGAGACGGAGAAGTATGAGGGCAAAACGCTTCAGTCAATCCGTGCGCGTCTGTCCCTTGCGGAGCTGACGAAGCATGAATCAGGCTTGAGACTCCGCACCCTGGAGTGGGAACACCACCTGCCGAAGGGGGAGTTGATGGTGGCGCTGAGACTCCAGCCGAAGCCCAGTACCTTACGGTGGGGACGCCACCCGCCGAAGGGGGGGCCGACAACATCACCGATCCCACTCCACTACAGCCGGCGCCGGTGACCCCCAGCCGAGGCCGGCGAGTCGCCCACCGACGAGGGGGCCGAATGCCCCCCGCACCACCACCGGCTGACCCCGATCTCTATGACCGCACCTGCGCGTCAACTGAGGGCCCTCTGGAGCGCACGTGTCGCCCTGACTCAGTTCTTCCTCTGAAAAAACAGATGTGTCACTGTCTATTTCCTCTAATTCTTCATCAATAGGAGACATTTCCTTCTTTTCTTCTAAAGAAAGTGATATTTCATCATTCTCTCCAAAGTTCTCCTCCATAATTGTGGAAAGACCAGCCTGATTCTCCCAAATATTCCTCTCTGTAGTCAGAGACAGACCAGCATCCTCCCCCATTGAGTCAAACACATCCAAATCTGGCGTAGTTACTTCATCTGACGTAAAATCAGAAAGATGCTCCATCTGAGAGTAAATCTGTAAGGCTCGTTACCAGCATTCAGACATCATTTCTGTTTGCTTTACAGCCAGACAGGACACGGTAAAAAAAGAAAGGAAAAAAAAAAGAAAGATTTTTCAGTCAGTGGTTCTGCGTCTTCATGGGCCACAGAGAGACTT